GTACGTGCTAATTGTTAAGAGGACCCCGTTGGATGTTTCTTCGTTATTTTCTGTGTAACCTTACGCTGACAGTGTAAATACCTGTCGTGGCGTGCACTCGTGGATATAAAGTGTAACGTGCAAAACCTGGCCGCCGTACAGCGTGCGGTACGACGGGTTTGCAAATGCGGCACGGGATACGTAAGGCGCCATAATTCAATCCTCGGGGCGGGAATCGTAAATCCGCGGAACGTGAAATTTTTACACCACCGGTGGACCGTTAAACTCATTTATTGTTCTATAACTTTCTATAACTCTCGATGAAATTCTATCATGGACGAGATTTCGGATCCGACGAGGTTTAGAAGCTATGACTCATCTCTCTCTCTCCTGACCAAGGTCCCTTTAAAGAGGACTTTTTAATCCCTTTTTAAATCCATTCTTCGATAGGCGACGCTGCAGAGAATGGTCGTCTGTCGGCCCACAATCTTCTGAAGGAACAAAACGGATGAGATGGAACGTCATCTCGGAGAGAGAAGTTTTGTAACGCTATTCTTTTTTAAATAAGAAATTAAAAATTGTGCAAACCAATTGTGTTGAAAACATGCAGCGAATCCAAGTCGTAACGAGTTCCAGCTCTGAGAAACAGCTCTCAATCGGAAGATTGGGATCGGGGCGGATAATAAGTGGCTTCTAAAAGGGCTATGGCGCCTTGTTCGGGAAAGTGGCTCGAATAAGATCGATACGTAGGCGAATTTCGCCAGATCGAATAATAATCGTCGTCGTTACACTGGCTGGTTCTTCGATTAACCCGGATAACCCCGACGGGGTCCCCAAAGAATCGTGATAATACGATCTCCCGTGCATTTATCTATCGTCAATTCGTGGCGCGGCGTTCGTGGCGAGCACTCCCTCTTGCTCAAGCGAGCGAACCAGTGATTCACGATTCGTGTTGCACGTGTTACGATTTCAACCCGATACACATGCAGAAATGTTGGTGTACAGGTACGACTTGCGACACGTTAATCCCGCTCTCTAATTATCCGCGCTTCCTTCCCCACGCGCGTCTGGGATTCTTGCCGGTTTCAATCTTCGGTCTAATGGCACAGAAACTGTAATCACGTTCGGCTCGAATCGGCCGAATCTCCTCGATCGCGAAAGAATTTTTCGTCGTCTTTCCCTCTTCTTCGTGTGCGCCGATGCGTTGCAGATAGCACGTTATAGGCGAAGGGCGTTGCATGAAATTCCTTGTTTCCTGCGATTAAAAATGGCGATATACGTATTCACAATTGTGAAACAGACGGTGGTTTGGGTCGGCGCCAGTTTGTCCTTATGACGTACGGTACACCTGTTGAATTTCAGCTTTGAAGCTAAAGCCGTAGGCTGAAAGTTTGTACGGTATCTTGTTGTACGCGTATACTGCCACGCGATGAAAATTTTATTCGCTCGTGAAAAGCCAATTTTATTCTATGTTAATGCAACAACGCGCTTGTAACAAAAAAATTACAGCAATCCAGCTGGGAGATGGCTCATCTTTTTCTCGGAGATTACCATCTAGAGTAAGTAGTGGAGGTAACTTTCTCGAAGAAAAGCGGCTGGTTAGCTAAGAAAGTGTGGAAAATGCATTCAGAAATAATTCGAATTGCGTGTTTTGACTTTATGATACGAGAAAAATTAAGTTTTATCGAGTAAATTTATACTTGCTATATATATATATATATATATATATATATTATATATATATATATATATATATATCGTTTTCAAATATTCGTTTTCCAAGTTTGCTATTCAGTCTAATTCTTCGGTTGTGTTGGAACATACTTGAAACGCGGTTGCCGGTTCTATTCACGAAGTCAGGAATCGTTACAATTATTGCGAAGTGTAACGTGTCGGTACGACGTGCAGAAAGCGTTTAAAGTTTAAACGCACCGCGGGGGAGTGACTCAGAGGCAAGCTATCTCATAGAGCAGCTAGACGTGCCTATTCGTTGCCCGGCAATTACGATTTGCGAGGGTCGAGCGCGTTCACACGGGAGGGGTTGCTTGCGAAATAATAAACGTTAGTTCCTTTATCGATTCCGAGCACGAGAGCTCTATGTGGAAGAGATCCAAGAATAGTCGCGAAACCATTGACATTGCCGTTCACCCACCTTTGCTACACCGCATTTTGTAAATTGAGATAAAAGCCATCGATTCGTTCCTTTATTCGTAATATTTACGAGGTTGGATTTATTTTCGTCTGAATTTAGAAATTAATGTAATATATATATATATATATATATATTATAGTGAAGATTTAAAGAATTTAAATCTATTTAAATCGATTAAAACAGAATAACTTTTTTCATAATCGGATTTTGAAAAATTATAATGAACGAAAATTTGAATTTGTATATAGATTTATATCAATTATATACGTATTAAAAATGCCATAAAAATTGTAGAAATAAGTGACAGATATCGAAAAATATAAAAAAAATTTTTAAATTACAGAAATCCTGAAAAACTACAATTTTCATTATTTTTTTAAAAGTTATTTCGCTTTAAAAGAAAGGATATAAGGATTTTGTACCTTTTACTTTCTTCTTTTAAGACTATCCGCCATTGTATATTGATTTCAGAAGTCGTTGTACCTGCAATCCAATCCAGTTTTTTTTTCTTTTATTTATCTCGCACACACCATTCTTCACGCCTTATTTAAGTAACAAGTTTGCCACATTCGTTCCACGGATTATATACCACTGTCTCGCCGAGGCAGGGTACACGGGTACTTCGTACAAACAGTTGATATTGTCGTGCAAACGATATTGTTACGGTGACGCATAATTTGCACGGTGTAATCGCTCGCGCACCTGCGAGACCCAGCGAAAAATTATTCTGAACGGTTGGGACGATTTTCTTTTGCCCTTTCCGGTCGCGCAAGTTCTTCTTGACTTCGTCCCTGCGCGGTGTAGGGCCATCAATGTCGCCCACGAAACAGGCGGACCGATATGAATGAACGTCAGGAACCGAGGGCCTTTTTGAGGGTGCTCACGTGGCCGTCACGTGAGGTAGGCACGCCCATTGTCTCGCGGAGAATGCATGTGTCGCGCATAGTGACACGCACAGGGGCCGATACATACGCGCGCGCACGTGTACACGTCCACGCAAGGTAGACGTGTACGTGTGGCGGCGCAACGTAGGTTACGGGAACGGTGGCTGAATATTAAAGAGGGGAAGAAGTAAAAGGCGATGTGATAGGATGTGGCGCGAGAGACACACAGGAAGTGGCGGCGCTAATTGTGAAAGAGAATCGTTTCGCTAGGGTGTGTTTCTTCGCTATAAGTGGCCCCTTTCGATCGATGAGTTTGTTCTCACCAATCCTATTATTCGACATGTACGTATTCGATGTTTCACGAGACTTTCCCCGCTTTAAGCCGGGATACGCAAGGGCTGCCGTTTCACGTATTAAAAATTCAACGGGTAATGGCAGGGTTCACGATGTCTCGTACACGTTTGGCGATCTTTATGCGCCGAGCTCTCGACCGAGTCCTCCATATTTCTTTTCACCCTGTACCCCCTTCGTTCTCGCACGTATCTGGAATTTAAAGAGGAAATTATCGAGGATTATTCGAAGGATTGTCGCGATTCGTAGTATTTCGTTCAATCACGTTGTAGGATGATTTAATTTTTCTTTTTATCTTCGAATCGAATGGAATTTGATATTTTTGAAAATTTATTATCAATCTTTTTTTACTTCTTTTTTTATTCTTCTATTTTCGAAACTTATCATTAGTAGTCGGAAATGTTCGTATTTTAATGCCGGTTACGCTAAATAAAAAACGTCGATGCTGTAACGAGAATCGAGATAGCCATTGCGAAAGTCAATAATGGGCGCATTTTTATCCGAACTAATTGTATCGGCGATTAGATCTCGTTAACGAGAGTGCCTTGAAAACGTTTTATCGGTTGATAAATCAAACGGCCCGGATGTAAGGTATAGGGATGGTAATGCTGTCGCGTAATGTACAGCAGCGAATGGAAGTCGAGTTGGCCAGCATTGAAGTGAAAACAAACGAATGTAAACAGGATAGGGCACGTGTGGAGCGGGGGCATCGAGCCTTCCGCTTGTTTAGCTCTGTTTGTTTTGGCTGCGTTGTGAGACACGCTGAATCGTTTTAACTCTTTCTTCCATTACGACCAGCTCGTGTTATATTGCTTTTTAAACGGTCATTTCTTCAATTTCTTCTTCGACTTTCCTCACATCCTTTGACATCATTGGCGGAAATAAAGGTCGTTTTCAGAGAAATTAATTTAAATAAGTATATTGGTAGATAGAATATCATACAATATATATGTATGAATTTGTATTTTTTTAATTAATCGTGTAATATTATAATTAAATGATAAATATAAATAAATGATATATATAAGTAAAATAAATATTGTTTATCGTCGTTATTTGTCTTGAAAAGATATCAATATTATAACTTGCATTTTGTCGAGACTTTCGCGTGACAAAAAGCTATTAATGCTGTCTTATAGAGCCATGGGTTCTCTTCGAAATGGATTGATATCTTATTCTAGAAAATGGATATTTATAAGGAAAATTATTCTAATTACATTTTATTGATTCAATTCATTAATTATATGTTCAATTTTATAATATATTTATATTGCTAAATTTATATTTTAAAAATATACTATTGCAATATCAATCTTAAATATTTGAAATGAATCAATATCAAATTACATATAAAATAAAATCAAAAAGTATCATGATAATATAGTTTAACTAGATTTTAATAGACTCCTGAAGCATATTCTTTATTCTTAAATGTGGTGTTGGTTAAGGCACGCCTAAAGTTGCGCTGAAACGCGATTCAGGTATATATCGTTCCGCAGTTCCGGCGTTCCGGACGTCCCGTTTCATCGTTCCACAGTTCGAGCGCGAGAGTAGGCAGTTGCGTGTGTCGTGTCAGTTATATCTCGGCAGCGAGAGCCGTCAGGCATACGGGTATTTCGATGCGCGTTGTTCGTTCAAAATCCTCGTGTATCTTGATGTATTAATAATAGCAAAAACATACGACAAAGTTTCAATAACCGTAAAGATCCTATTATCGAACGAATTTGTCAACGAATTCATCTGTGATTTCATCTTGAAGTAATCTCTTTCAGAGTGATTTCGAGAATGTTTATATCGTTTACAGAAAATTTTGTTGCCTAATCGATTAAATCATGACAGTCGTTTCCTTGGATTCTGATGTGATGACATTTATCATGATATCGAGTGCAGTCGATTCATTTTCGCGGATAATCGAGTATGAATCTTCCTTTGCAAAAACGAAGAATTTCAAGGTTAAGTACAGGATCTGACACGTGATTGTTTGATATGTAGTTAAATTGTATACGGTACGGTTATATATGTTATTTTATATCATATACTACAGTGATTTCAATCGATCAAATGAACTGGACTTGATGTTTATTGAATATACCACGTGTCGGTAGTATCGGTGGCGTGCATGACCGGACGCAATTACGATCGAGACATTATAATGAATTATGCAACATCATGTCAATTCGAAGATTACCAAGTTTGGACGTTTTATTCTCTCGTGTCAATGCTTGGTTTGCGTTCATTCACTTCTTGTGATATCCATTGAAAACGTGAATTGTGTATTGAAAGCCATCACGAAATGAACGATGTGTTATGACATGATATCGATAAATATCTTATAAAAATGTGTTACATGGTTATGTTCGTTTTAAGCACAAAATTGTGAAATCTCGAAAACGTTCGATTGAAAAAATATTTCTTTTAAAGTGAACGGTTATCTAATCCATTTCGTGAATTATCGAACGGTATGAAGTTTGAGGTTTGTTGCTTCGATTTGTACGCGTGTGTTGTTTCCTCTTATTAACGCATACGAAACACGTGCCTTTATTTTTTTGTACTCTTTTCATTGTGCTATCACGAAAATCGTGTTCAAAGCAAATATTATATCATTATTAAGAGATCATAGACTCGATTTAGGCGGGAAAGTAACATCATAGAACGAATTCGATATCGAGTTTTTACTGCGCAACGTGTTCGCGTCAACGTATTTCTCGTTTGAAATCGAGATGTGGAGATGGAAATTTTAATCAAACGGTATGAAGTGACGGTTATGAATTCGAATGCTGACTGAGTTAAGTTGTGAAATTTTTACGCGAAAAAGTGACAAAGTGTAAAAAGTGACGGAAGAATTTTGAAGTTAACCTCCCAAGAGAACCAAAAATTGGATAATCGTCATGGCTTACGTGCTCTGGCGGGTTTTTATGAAGAGATACTCGAAGGTGCGGCTTGGACTCAGGAATCTTCCTGTAAGTGTTACACACTTGGTTCGTAATTTTGCTTTATATACATTTAGTTTAGTTTACGCGCGGGCGTGCAGTTGTTCGCAATGCAAATGTTCTGTCTGAACCAAGCAAAATCGCCGTTCGGGATGAGTTTCCATCGGCAGCACTAGGGAGATAAACGTATGTTCCATCGTAATTCTCAAGGTCAGAATTTTACGGGCGAATTTAGCTGCGCTTCGCGTCAAATAACCGCTGTAATTGCTGTAGCCATTGAATATGTTATGCAACGAGCCGGCCAGAAACCGTATTTGGTATGAAAATCACCACCTATAGCATCGATTTTTTTATTCTCTACGTAACTATCTTTCAAATGATTCTGAAGAACAAAATTCTTCAGAACTAAATATATAAAGATTTATATATATTGCATATCTGGTTAAAAATCCAAAAGAACAATATTTTAATTTGAATATATACATTAAATATGTAGATATAATTATTAGGAGTTTTTTTATTTTAAATTAATTTAATTTTCGATCGGTTCGATCGATAATGGCCACCGCACTGGTAAGATCGCTTTACATTTTATCGCAATGAGGTGCAATTATTAGACGGTACAACTGTGGCTAATGCGAACACGGTAATTGGATAATTGCCGTTGAAGCCCGCACAGCAATTCTCTTTTTTATATTCTTTTTCTATCGTTTCGTGTTGACTATGGTATCGATTTCTATCAATGTATCATGATCGATCGGATGCGTGCACGGTTCATTGGTTTTCCATCGAAACAGGATTCGTTCGCGGTTCGGGCCGTTCTCAGCGTAATCACGAAGTAACTCTTTCTCTTATTTTTTTCTCTTTTCTCGCGCCTGTCTTGTTATTAATAAATTAAACCAATATAACCGCATTTAATTTAGTAGATAGATCTCGTTATTAAATTTTCCTCCTGAATGGTTTAGTTGATATTGAAGTGAATACAACGCGACTAGGTTTTGTGAGACGTGTTTAATCAATCAGGAAAAAGTGGTTCCCGATCTGTGTACTTATATAGGCACACCCTGCTAATAAATTTTGCATAGTAGCGCGGAAGGGAAATGCGGCTAAGGTGGGAGGGTGCGGGCAATTTACGACGTGTCGGATTGGATTACTTCGATGCGTCCGCGCGAAGATCCCACCGCACGCTTATGTAAACGATTGTTATATATCCCGATATAGCGTTCACATTGAACGTTAACTCTTACTTTAGATATATTGTGATATAAATATTAGATATATAATTCTCTCATATAGATATATATTTAATAATTAATTTGAAATTAATACTTACTTGAATAAGAATTGAAAACTCATTTACAATTTATTTTCGACTCGAAAAAAGAAAGAATTTGAACGAATCCAAATCCATCCCATTTCCTCCACCGCACCGCAGAGAAGAACTCATCGTGTCTCGAGGACAAGCAGGCGACTGGAGTCAGCCTTTGCTTCCTAGAACTTGGTCCGCGGGTCTCGTATTGTAATTATCGACAGAGAGAGAGAGAGAGAGAAAGAGAGAAAAAAAAAATAAGCGACCAGGCGCTATTGCAAAGTCTGGGGTCGGTGGCCCGGGGGGGTTTCAGCATCTTAATAAATTAAATGCATTCCGCTGGAGGGAGTGGGAGGCTCGCTAGTGGACAAATGGAAGAATAAGAGGGAAGAGGAAGGAACGAGGATCGGTTTGAGAGGAAAGAAAGGAGCGGTAGGCGGTCGAGGTGGACTAGGGAGGAGTGTCGAGGGAGCGGACGGGGTGCAATTCAGTTTGCGGTCGCCGAGTCAGGTTACGTTAGGTTAGTCCAGCGGTTGGTCCCCGTGACCGTGAACCGCGGCTGACCTGCGACACAAACACACAGAGTTCCTCTTTCTCTCTTCCCTCCCACCTTCCATAAATCTACCTGCACTACATCGCGTCTCGTTCCACGGCCAGGCGAACCGCTCGTTCGCTTCCCTCCTCCCCTCCCTCCTCCCTCTTTCCCCCTCTTCTTTCTTCTCTCTTCTCTCTGTCTCGCCTCGCATTGTGCGCTCTTCGGGACCTCGGAGTGATAAATACGGCCGGCCACCCCTCTTCCATCCCCGTATCTCGTTATCTGTCCTCGTCTGGCCCTTGAACAACTCGCGAAACCGTTTCCCCGTTTTATCGTGCTTATACCACTGACTCCGTGGCGGAGACAACGTCGCGTGGGCGTGTTGATCTATTTCGATTTTCACCAACGTACGTTCTGCCCGTTTTCTGAGAGGATAACCGGCCCTCTGTTGTTATCGTTGGTAGCAATTGTGGGGAATATTGGGAGGATGATAGGAGTGAATATGTGGATTTTGAGATTCGGGGGCCACTGTATTGCGGACTACTGTGTAACAAGATTCCTTTGCAAGTATAAGGATTAGCGATGAAAGGATTGCTGTATGAGATGCGTGATAAATCTTACGTAGAATTTTTTCGATTCTAATGGTTTGATTTATTTTTGATAACGCATGTATAGTAATTATAAAATTTTGTTAAAAAATTTAAAATGAACGTTTAAATAGAATTAATTTGTTTTCGAGTAAAAATTTGTTCATCATCGAATATACGTATAATAGATATCATCAAATTGTATTAAAAATTCACGAATTTTTACAATCCAGTGACTTGAATAATTCGTTTTCACGGAAGATAGAGCGTATTCGTTATATTTATATTTCAAAGAACCATTCTGTAGAGTCGATTAGAACACATTTCTGATAATTCGTTCGTTTTAATTATACTTTCGGAATAGAAAATTGTTCAAAATCTAGATCTAGAAGCCGAAAAAAAAGTTAATAAATTCTTAAATTCAAGACTTTTACTCATATCGATCTCGAGGATCGTGGAAACAACATTGAAATTCTCAGTGAATTCAGAAGCAGTTTTATCTTTACGGTTAACGCAGCATTTTCTCCCGTTCTTATCGCAATGTTTTGCACATCAGCTATCGTGCGCCTCGCGCAGCCACAGACAGTGGAACAAGAAGAAGCTTTGGTTAATCGAACGTTGGCTGCGTTTCTTTCGCTCAGTTAATTTAATTTGCTCCTTCGTATCGGTTTAGAGGCGGCTGTCTGGAACCTACTCTTGTTTTATCTGAAATAATTTGTTCCATTATCGAGTGGCGCGTACTTGAATCGAAAGTGGAAACGCCGAGAAGAATGTTTGCTTTGAACGAATGTAGGCGGACAGATTGATCGATGGCTCTTTAATCGCTATTGTTAACGTTCATGGCCGTTGCAAATCGGATCACCCATGTGAGATGCGTGTTGCAGTTGAACGAACGAGCTTCTCCCCGAGCTTTTCTTCATAACCGTTTGCATAATCGTTCCATTGCACCGCCTAAAATTTTCGAAGTTTTTTTCTTCTTTTTTTTTTTTTAATCTCTTTAATAAAGGACGTTAAAAAAAAGAGCTTACGTCATCGAGAAAGTGTTTATTAATTATTTATATGCATAGTAAAAATGCAGTGTAAAAAAATAAATACATAGCTAGTAATTGCTAGAAGATTCGCCATTACTGTTAAGAGAAGATCCATTTGGCGAAGCACCACAACAATATAATATAATTTGAAATCAAATATCCGTGAAACAATACGGTAGGAAGTTTATTATCCAAATACCTATTATTCGAATATACTATTAACTGAATATTTTATTATTGGAATTGGATACCATTTTATTTACAACAATATAAAAACACGCGTTTTTCTATATTATAACTGTGATAAAAATTTAATTCGAAATTATTTTTAATTTAAAATTTAATTAAAAATTAATATATTCTTATAACATGTACAATGTATTAAAAATTGAAAATATTTAGGAAATCAGAAAGCGATGAGATAGAATTGGTAATTTAAAATTATATAATATTGAAAAATCCACAATTCACAATTGGAATTAGAAAAAACAGAAGAATGAAGAGAAGAAAAGTAAGAAATTAATTGCAAGATGCAGATGTGTATATATTAAAAAATTTGTGCAATTTGCTTACTATAAAGAAAGAATTATTTTATAATAAAAACTATTTTCTTATCATTTAAGAAAAGCCTGTGTTTCATTATTCGAATGATCTTGCCAATTAATTACCAATAATTCGGATAATGAAAGTTTTATTAAAAAAAAAAATTTGTTACTTTTTTATAAAATTTTATCAACATTAAAGTTTCATTAAAAAATTTTTTTCATTGATATATTTTTTTCTATATTCAGCAAAAAAGACATAACTTTCCATTCAAGTATTTTTACTTATGTACTTTCACTTTCACAATCCTCAGACAATATAATGAAAGAATTTAAAAAGAAAAACTTATTAAAAAAATTTTTACATCTGACATGATTCATGCGACATTGTATACAGAAAGAATATACTTTTATCAAACATATTATGCGTAATACAATATAAGATTTTATATTTTGTTAGATCGTGCGAGATTTCTTTGAAATAACTTAAGAAAAAGTTAATCCAGCTAAGATATGCAAAGTAGTCTGAGAAAGATTGATATATATATATATACACACATATAGCAAATAATTAATGATCAGCAAGAATTAACAGATCAAAAAAAAAAAATAATTCTATTAAATGTAATTGCAATCTATAGAATTATTTACATTTATATAATTCGAGAAGCTAAGATTAAATTATGTGAAATTCTATATACGATAAAATTTAAAAATTTTACCATAATATTTATTTAGAAAATATTCTCCAACATTAGATAAAAATTTTGATGATAAGATAATAATTCTGTATCTAAGAATTCGAGTAATTCAATTCCTTTTTCGTTATTCGCTACTATAGCAAAAAAACTGCAACCTGCATTGAATTTCAAATTGTCCACGCTACTAAATCTTCGCTATTTAACAAAAATATATTTTCGATTATTTTAAAATAATAAATAGATACCAAATATGCACATAACTTCAAAAATGATAAACTTTCGAGTTAATCTGACTCAAAATACTTCTCAAAATTATTTCTTTAAT